TTTCTGAGACTAGAAGAGAGTGTTCCATATTGTTTGAAACTTAGTGTACATCCAATAAATGTAAGCTACTATTATAGTAGCTCCAAAATCTTCTTCTTTTTAGTGGCTTCTATTCAAGCAGCCAATGAGCTTCAACCTGTCTGTCAAGATTTCCACAGGTACATCAACTGGCAAAGCTGAGACTGAGAAAATGAAGGACTCAGTGATTTGTTAAGAGCCTAATAATTCATAGCATCATGACTGGCATTGCAAGAAAAGCTATATAATATCTATATATACATAAATTGATAGATATTTAAATTCAACATTGGCTGTGGACCAGGAACTATATGCAAAGAGCTGAGCTAGGCATTTTGAGAAGTACATATAAATGTCACCAGAAAAGGGACCAGGTAAACATGGTGATTAAATGGGGAAAATTGCCTTGGAGATGTTCTGGAAGAAATTCGGAGAAAGTTCTATGAAAGCCCATAGGAGGGAGCCCTTCAGGCTGGGAGAGGACAGATGTGGTTAGAGAAGGTTCTCTGAGCAGGGATTGAACGACTGTGTAAAGATCCTGGTCCTTGAAGTGTTCTCACCTTGGAGAAAAGACATAAACATGATAGCAAGAACAATGAAAGATCCTATCTTCCTTTGCTCCAGTCTCCACAAGGCAGACAGAGCTTGCTTGAGGAATTCTGACAGGAGAATAATTTATCAGTCTTAGAGTAACAAAGGAGATAGAGCTCTGGCTCTGAAGAAAAGCTGACCCAACAAACAAACAAAACAAACACAACTCAGACAATTCAAATCCATAGAAAAGGAGAGGAAGTACCCCTTTTTTTTTTTAACTGAGCACCTACTAATTTAATTCTCATGAGAATCCACAGTCTGGTCACAGAGACTTAGAAAAATTAAGCAACTTGCTAAAGGTCATAGGAACCCAGGTCATGGTGACTCTGAAACTTTTACTTGGAGCCCCTGCTACCCGTTCAAACCCTTCCCAGCCTTCAAGGCTCTACTTCGATGCTACTCTCCAACTTCAAGCAGAACCTCCCTGGTTATACATTGCTTTTAGTTATTACAAAAGAAGGTGATGGTTGAAGGAGTGTATCCTAAGTATGAAAAAACAGAATAAAGAAAGTTTTGGCACAAAAAGAAAATTCTCCCAAACTTAAAGGAGTCCCTCAGAAGTAGGAATGAGTAAGTGGAAATTGAGCAGATATGGATGATTAGATGTGCACTGTTGTAGTACTCCAATAATTGGGAGTCCCTACTATGTTTCAGATTTGGAATTTTTAACTGTTGTCTTTTCATTTTAACCAAACAATAATGTACAAACTGAAGATCTTACCAGGTGAGAATTAGACCTGCAGTCACCTACTCTTAAGTGATTTTCACTTCTACTACAAAAGAGAAAGAGAGGAAGGAAGGAAGGAAGGAAGGAAGGAAGGAAGGAAGGAAGGGAGGGAGGGAGGGAGGGAGGGAGGGAGGGAGGGAGGGAAGGGAAGAAAAGAAATAGAGTAAACAAATCCACCAAAGATTAAGTGTTGGAGCATAAAAAGGGATGGTAGCAAAAAAGTCTATCATAAAATACTATAGTATATATAAGTAACTGAAAGGTCCTGACTGATGTGAGTTATGAGTCAATGTGTCAGCATTCATTTAAATGTCCAACAAAAATCAAGCAAATGCACACAAACATGCATAAAGAATAAGAGTGGCTTCCAAGCCAGGTTGGACAAAATAGAAGTTGGACGTTCAATGAACAGATAAAGGAAAGTTTGACAAATGCTCCCAATAAATGTAGAGACTGAGGCAGAGGAGCTCAGTAACCTGTAACACATGCACTACTCTGCTGCTCCCTTTTCCTGCCTGTCACAGGAGAGAAATGACTTGGCCTCCTCATTTTTGTTTCCCATTAAAGATCAATGTATCTGTGATAACAGAGCACAAGATATGTATGTACCACTTCTACAGTTCACAAAGTATTATATCTCAGAGCATATTTTTTAGTGGGCTTGAACTCTGAGCCTTATGTTCTCACTTTGGCCTTTTCCCACCTCAAGACCAGCACTCTTGAGTAGAAGAAAAAAAAAAGCCACACTTCCAGCTTTTTACTCATTAATTGGAGATAAGAATCTCAGATTTTGCTGCCCTCAGTGGCTTTGAACTATGATCCCATACCTCAGCCTCATGAGTAACCAGGATTACAAGTATAAGCTACCAGCATCAAGCCCCTGATCCTGAAAATAAGTTTATGAAGTCGATATTACAATTTGAAAAGTAAAGGAGGGGATGACTACAGAGGTAAAGTGACACCCAATGGCAGGGTATGGTATGTGTTGGAGAGGGAAGAGACTAGAAGTAAAAAGCCTCATGCTGTCACAAGATTGGAGTATTGAATTCTCCAAAGTCTCCCCATTCAAAGTGATTATACACAGTGACTTGAAAAAACCTGGAAGATATGGTTTCCAGTTGCCTAACTGGCACACGTGAAATGAATCCGTAGTCCAGTGAATTTGGGATGACAACTGGACTAGCTCAGCATCTCTCTTTTCATGCGATTGACTTACAGGAGTGACTTAGAGTTGCAGAAAGTGCAAGGTTTGCCCAGGCCAACTCTTTAACCATGGCATTGCATACATAAAACCATGTTCACTTGCTGACAGCTCTGAGAACACATTCAGAATGTAACTTGATTTTCATTTTTGAACAGGAAAAAAACATGGAGTTCCAACATTCTTAGCCCAAGACTTAAAATGACACGTCTTCCCTCAAGCCAGGAAGATCTGAATCTGGGATAGCCCCTGTGCAGCAGAATGCTGCCGCAGCCCCTGCAGACCACATTCCAGCTTTTATAGAGGGGATGTCTGAGTCATTTGCTCATCTTACCAAACTTCATACTTTCACCAGCACATATTCTCCACTGGATTTCTTTCTCTCCCACAAAGGGAAGCTCCCCAGCTCTGAGGAAGGAGCTGAAAACAGCCCTGATGACAGGAAGACTAGGGGAAAGAAAGTTACAAATTAGTGGCATCCACCACACTTTGGGGCTCTGAGCATGCTCTCCACACTAGGCAAACTTTACATGGCTTATTTTTACCACCATGTTATTAGCGTAGACTAGTCATTAATAACTTGTAATCTACCAGTGCTAACTCACTTAACATTTGGAGGGAAAAAACAAAAAAAGGAGAACTCTTTTGCCATAAGGGGGAGCTTTTGAGTTCCACAAAGGGGGAGGGAGGGAGGATATATTACATATATGTCCCAGTTTAGAACCAGAGCTACAAAACAGTTAATGATCCAGCCCTTCCCTGTAACTGACCATATCAGAGGACCTAAGTAGGTTGAACTTAGGTTCTTCAACTTAGGTTCTTCCTCTCCTTTATATACAATTACAAATTGATTTCTAACAACAATATTTTTCAGAGTCTGTTTGGCTGGGTCCAGGCAGCTTCTAAAATACAGATGAGCTGGTAAAAATGGTTTGTTGTTTTGTTTTGTTTTCCTGCCTGGACTATATTCTAAGGACTCCATAAGGACTTTGTAAAGCACCTTTGGTTTAGCTGAAGGCTGAAGCTGGCAGCCCCGGAGCTCAAGGTGGAGAAGAGACCCTTCAACAACGCCTAACTTTAAAGAAAATTTGGAGAGGGAAAAGACTAATGGGAAAAAAGGACAGGGGGTATCAGACAGAATAGAAAGAAACGTGGCAAGAATAGGGAGAGGAATAGAGAGGAGAGAGAAAGAGACAAGGGGTGAGTGAAGAAAATGAGCGAGGGAGGGGGAGAGAGAGAGAGAGAGAGAGAGAGAGAGAGAGAGAGAGAGAGAGAGAGAGAATTGAGAATCAAGTTTCAAGACTTTCTCTGTGTACTATAGGAGAGGATGTAGGTTGGCCAGCAAAGTGTAAAGAGGATCTTGAGAGAAGAGAGAGGGTTTTTTTTTAATTCCACGAGAGAAAACAAACAAACAAATAAATACAGGAGAGGAGAAGTGGGAGGGGGTGCCGTGAAGAAGGAACAAAACAAAACAAAACCAGGAATGTGTGTGTTTTTTGTTTTATGTTTTGTTGGGTTGTTTTTTTTTTTTTTTTTTTGAGCAGGAATGAGTCGAGCTGGGAGGACCGTAAGGGGGTGTGTACAGAATTTCATTAAATTGTTACTTTAAGATTGTCTTCTCAAAAAAAAAAAAAAAAATAGAGGGGGTGGAGAAGCCGGAGCGAAGGAGAGGAGGCAAACGAGAAAGTGGAGGAAGGCTGGGTAGCTCGGCCTCCAACTGATTGATTAGTCACGATCCCCGCCGTTTTAACAGGGACTCATTCAATTGCGAAGGTGGAGCGCTCGGGAGCAGATTAGCATACGCTTGTTTACCCTTCTTCTGAGGGATTCCCCCCCCCTCTTTCCTTTCATTTTGTGTCGAGGGGAGGGGAAGGGAAGGGGGGGGACACGGGCTTGGGGAGGGAAGGGGGGGCAGAGAAGAGGGCTGTGGCTTGTGTTATAAAGGGACTCAAAAAAAATAAATAAATTAGAGCATCTTTGGGGGGGGTGGAGGGAATGAGCGGATCGGTGTCTTAGAGGCGCTTTTTTTTTAAGAGCAAGCAATCCTATAATTTTTTTTTTAATGAAATAACCCAAGGAGGAAGGCAACCAGCTGTTTGTTAGAGAGGTGTGTGCAAGGGGGTGGGGGGGGGGGAGATAAGGCAGATAAAGGAGCGGGGAGAAGATAAATTGTCAACCCGGAGGAGTTGGACGGTATTTTTTTTTGTCAAAGGTGGGGGGAGTGGAGCACACACCTTGAGGAGGAAAGCGAGAAAGAGAAGGGGAAGGGAGAGAAGAAGAAAAAGAAGAAGAAGAAGAAAATAAAGAACCAGTGGAAAAGGAGAAGGAGGAGGGGGGGGGTGCTCGCCCAAGAAGGGGGGTGAAGAAGCGGAGAAAAGTCGAGGCGCCCGGGGCTCCCAAAGCTGGCAGCTGTGGGCGGCGGTGTCGGGGCGCAGGGGGGGCGGGGGGGGACCGTCGGACATGCGGCTCTGGAGTTGGGTGCTGCGTCTGGGGCTGCTGAGCGCCGCGCTGGGCTGCGGGCTGGCCGAGCGCTCCCGCCGGGCCCGGAGAGACCCGCGGGCCGCTCGCCCCCCGCGCGCCACCACCGCCGCCGCCGCCGCCACTAGCCCGGCCACCTGCGCCACCCGGGCGGCCCGCGGTCGCCGCGCCTCGCCGCCGCCTCCGCCGTCGTCGTCGTTGTCGTCGTCGCCGGGCGGTGCCTGGGAAGCCGCGCGCGTCCCCCGGCGGCGGCGGCAGCAGCGCGAAGCGAGGGGCGCCACCGCCGCCGCCGCCGCCGCGGAGCCGAGCCCGCCGAGCCGGGCTCTCTATTTCAGCGGGCGAGGCGAGCAGCTGCGCCTCCGGGCCGAGCTGGAGCTGCCCCGGGACGCCTTCACGCTGCAAGTGTGGCTGCGCGCGGAGGGCGGACAGCGCTCCCCGGCCGTCATCGCAGGTAGGCGACGCACCCCCCACCTCCCCAAACACACACCCGGGTCCGCTCATCCGCACCCACCCACCTCCCACCCCACCTTTTCCGGAGCGCGGTGCGCGTGGGGGGCTCGGGAAGGGGAGGCCCGGCGACTCTGTCCGCCGGAGGGAGCCACTCCCGGGGTACGCGCCGGCTGGAGCTTGGAGCCCCGGGACTCAGTTTACCCCATCTGTCGAATGGGCGCGCGCGCGCGCGGGACGTAGCGCTCGGCCAAGGCGACGGGGAGGGTCGGGGTGGGGGGAGGAAGTTGGTGTCCCCACCACCGTGTTCCGGGCATAGAAACGTCGCCCTCGGGGCGGCCAGACCCATTCGGCTTCGCTTTGGGGAAGGGAGCGGGTCGGAGGAGGTGGAGGAAGGAAGGGGAGGACCACCCCCGCTGGATTGCCCGCGAAAGGTGGGGTGCGGGAGCGTGCATTTGCCTTCACTTTTTGATGCGAGTCACCTCCCCGTTACTCGGAAAGCCCGCGGGGACGAGCTGGTTGGGAATGCTAAGAGTTAGAAGTCCCCGAAGTGCCTTAAAGTTGTTTTCTGCTTGAAGTCTGCCTCTGGGACCCCCTCCCCCCTTTCCCGAGACACACACGCGTGCACACACGCACCCCTGCACACACACGCTCGCGCGCGCGCACACACACACACAAGCGCACACTGGCGCGCGCGCAAGCTGCCACCCCCATACCCGCTGATGCCTGTTCTTCAGAATTGGGGCGAGACCTACCCGACTCACACCCCGCTACCCTTCCCCTAGTCTCCTCTAGGACACTGGGTGCTTTTCTCACTTAGGGCCTGTATATATACATGTAGATTTTTTTTAATGAGAGCAGAATGTATTTGAGTTCTTCCTCACCCTCCTCATCCTCTCTCTCTATTCTCTGTCGCGGTCTGTCCGTCGCTCTGTCTCTCTCTTCCCTACGCGGTTGCCATCTCCTAGTGAAACGGGACCCTGCCAAAGGTGAAAATCTTAGAAATGCTTCGACATCCACCCGCACTCCTTCTCTCCCCCGGCACCTCCTTCTAAATGAATCTGTGCAAATGCTTTTAATAAAACTGGAGGGAAGGGGGTGCTGAATGGAGGCGCCAGAGGAGAGAAGGAAAGTTTTGCCTCTTCTTGTCCGGGAGATTCCCTTCCTGCCCCTGGTCTGGGGATGTCTGGGAGTGAGAGCCAGGGTTCCCCTTCGCCCGCAGCCAGGAAGCCCAGCGCGCGCGGAGCCGTTTGGCGATTCCCACCCCCGGGCACGCTGTCTTAGAAGGGAAAGATGCGAGAGCTGTTCTCCCGAGACTGTGTGCGGGGTCCTGTCTTTCCTGGGCTTGGACTTTGTCTAACCCTGGGCTGACTCTCTTGTTGACATGAACTGCCGCTTCAGGGGGACCCAAACTCTGCTTCTGTACCCAAGTCGATGGTGGCCAAAGCCCCCTCTTCCCTTCTACCAAAGTGTGTGTTGGGGGGGGGAGGAAAGAGAGAGAGGGGTGAGAATGTGTATTTTTCCCTCTCCATCTCCCTCTCGCGCGCGCACACTCGCACACGCACACAGCATACACACACAAAACTGACGTCATCGCTTGTTATTTTTCCTTATTTTTTTTCCTCTCCGGGGGAAAGGAGAGGGAAACGAGGGAAACGGAGTTCATTCACATGGAGTCCTTGTCAGCCAGAAGAGGGTAGACAGAAGCAGAGGTGTTATTCAAAATAATAATGATAGTCGTGGTGATAATTCAAGGCTGATGCTCTTTCCAAACATGAAAACGCACAGTCTGCTGATTGAAAGTGTGTGTGTGTGTGTGTGTGTGTGTGTGTGTGTGTGTGCGCGCGCGCGAGCGTGCTCGGGCGCGCGCCTGCGTGTGTGTTTAATGAGTAAATTCCGGTCTTACCTAGTCTTTACCTGTCGGAGGAGCAATGATTCAGAAGGGCTCCTCCTTCTGAAGGGGAGCTGCAGGTACTCAGGGAAGGGTAGTGGAGAGCCACATGACCTGTCATCGGAGATGGCATGGGAGACTACTTGATAAGTATTTAACTCAGACGGAAGGTCTCTCTACACATCATTCTCTTTAGACAAACTCATTCTCACACAAAGGTTGTTGCAGTAAAATACTTTAATTGGATGGGAAGGAGGGAATGTTTGGTTATTATTGCTTGTATAAAATGCCTGGTCCATTTTATGTGTGGAAATAACATTCCTCTCCAAAACAGAGCTGGGGGGGGTATGGGGAGGGGGTGTGGAGGGGTAGAGTTGTGGGGAGAGGGAAGGCAGGGCTGTCCTGTAGTACCAGAAAGCCCAGAGCTTTTCTCCTGAGGATTCTAGTGGATTTTTTTTCCCCTCCCCTAGTTGAACCCCAGCCAGATTTGGTGGTGTGTAAACACCTGGCTCAGAGCCAGCAAAAACCTATTCTGCAGTATCCACGCTGTACAGAGTGCTGCAAGAAAAAAGAACCTGTTTCTTTCTCCTTGAATTCAAAAGCAAACAAACAGAGGTTCCTTACAGAAGTACTTTTTTTTCCCCCTCAGCTTTCTCCTCTGTGTCAGTTCAGGCTGGGAGAGGCCAAGGACTGGGGTGAGTGCCAAGGTGCATGGCATCCACTGACTGCGACCTCAGGTGCCCAGTTGGCTGTCTGACCTCTCCACCCCTCCCCCTCTTTCTCTCTCTCTCTGCTGTCTTGCTCTGGCTGAGTGTCACCAATTTTGCCGGAAACCCAGGTCACCTATCTCCAGAGCCCCCGTCACTGCTCAGCAGGGACCACACTGCTATTTCAGGCCCAGCTGCTGCCTGGCTGTCAGGCCAGGCTTGCCTTACATCATTCCATTCGGCTGCAGGATTCAGTCGGGCTTCGTAGTAAAGGTCTAGTTTTACAGCGCTGTTCACGGGGTCTGTCCAGAGACAGGTCTTTGCTGCCCCTGGTGAGGCAGGTTTGCTTTCAGATTGGCCAGTCTGGGATGCTCTTGCCACTCTGGTTCAGACTCCAGATTGGAGCTCAGAGCAGGAGAGAGAAAGAACAGCGTGTATTTCCAAGCGCAGAAAACATGTCCCCCCCGCTTTTTTAAATATCTGAACAAGAAGGAGAATATACACGTACAGACTGGCTTATCTAGTCAGAGTCAAGTTGGAAAGTGCCTGTGTGCAGGATTGTCAAGAGAGCCCGCCAATGAATCAATCAATCCATCCACCAGTCAATCCTAAGGCTAATTGATGAGTCCTTTTGGGTCAACAGGGAGAGACACAGACAGCTGTATGGGATATACAGCTCTTCAGTGGTAGCAGGAACTAGGATTTAACCCTGATATCCCAACTTCTAGTCCTTGCCCCCTAGATGGCTGTGATAACAAGTCTGAAAAACACCATTACCTCTTACCCCACACAGACCGGCCACCCAGCCACTGCCCCCAGCATTTTCCTGCGAAACCATGTGGGCCCCCTTTCATGTGGGGTGAGAGGGTCTGACACATCCCCTTGCTTTTGTACCACACCAGGCAGGAGCCAGACCCCTGCCTGTCATCCCCAACTGTGCCCCCATATCCCTCCATTCTGTAAGAAAAAGAAAGAAAACAATAGACTCAATTTGCTCCATGGAGCAGAGGCTCTGAGCGGCAGTTAATCTTGTTAAAGTTTCTCCTGACCTGTTAGAAAAGTACAGCCTGGACCCCACAAATGCTTTCCTCCTCCTCCCTCCCAGGTCCCTACTCCCAAATTCCAGCTCAGGAGGAGAAAGGGATTTAGCTGAATGCTATCCAGCACCTCAGCTACCAGGCTTTTCTCTTTTGTTCTAAATGTTAGAATGGATTAAGTGTGCTAGTCTTTCTCGAGAGTCCTTCTTTCTGCCACTCCTCAGTTCCAGAGCCTTCTTCTTACTTCTCACTCAAACCCTCAAAAAGACTAGTAGTTGAGCCAAACACCAGTGGTTCAAGCCTTTAAATCCTAGCTACTCGGGAGGCTTAAATCTGAGTATCCTGGTTCAAAGCCAGTTTGAGCAGAACGTTCCTGATACTCTTATCTCTAATTAACTAGCAAAATAGCTAGAAGAGAGAGAGTGGCTCAAGTGGTAGAGCACTACCTTTGAAAAGAAAAACAAACAACAACCAAAAAATGAAAGAGGGTGGGTAGAGAGGGAGGGAGGGAAGGAAGGAAGGAAGGAAGGAAGGAAGGAAGGAAGAAAGGAAGAAAGGAAGGAAGGAGCCTCAGGAATCGTGCGTAGGCCCTGAGTTCAAGGACAAGGTGTGTGTGGGTGGGGGGGGATGGATTTTAGGAAGTTTATATGTTAACATCTCTCTATCCCTTGTTTTCCTTCTTTGGAAAAATGGACATGAGGATTGCAAGATACTTCAGCGATAGAAACATGCAGAAAGTACCTTGCACAGTACCAGCTTGTGCTAGTGAATAAGGGAGACTAGCTGATTTCAGCACAGAGCCACCAAACCTCTTAACCCCTTCTTCCAGTTTGCTAATGCAGTCTTCTGGGGGAACTATTTGTGTATTAAGGAACATGCATCTTGGAAAAGAAGGTGACTTCTTGCAGTTTCTGCTTTCCATTTAGTTCTCTTCTTTGACTCCTTCTGTTAGAATGACCCTTTGGTTGTAAGAGCCAAAGAAACCCCAGTAGTACTGAAAACTGTAATAGGAAACCAGGGAACATCAAGCCATAGTAAGTGGCCCCACCAACAAAAGCTGAAGAGGTCACAGTTCTTCTGGCATATGCTTTGTGTTTTCCCCCAGTGCCTTCCAAACTCTCATTTCAGTAGAGTCTAGGAATCCCTGTCATTTCCCTTGGCACAGAAGATGGCAACCTTAAGGTCCAAGGGTTGGTTTGAACTCAGGAGTATGGGACGGGCAGTCATTCCAGGGCGAGAGTTGGCAGTCATCTGGATTAAGCAGCTTGCTGTGGAATAGGGAAAACTGAGGACCAGAGTCACACAGAATTGAATTGTATTCACAGACCTACCAACCTCCTCCTCCTCCTCCTCCTCTTCCTCTTCCTCT